GGGAGTACAGGAGGGTTGATTTTTGCTATGTGCAAAACCAAGCTGAGGAAAATACTCCATGGTAAGAGGTACCTTGCACAGCTGGTGGAAGTAGGAAGAATAACAAAGAGCCTGCTGAAACTCATTATTGAAAATACCATGCAAGGGTACCAATGGTTTTGGGGCAAGTTTCTAATAAGCCTCTGTCTACAAAGTGTTGAACTCTGTAACCCCACTGCAATCTGTGGGGCTGGACCTCCCCTGTACAAAAACAGGAGGGTGTACAGAGTGTACACACTCTGTACAAAAACAGGAGGGTGCTGCTTCTGATTTTGTTTGATGAGGACTCGTGTATGCTAAAGACACTGTCTGGGTGGAAGTGCTTGCTGTGAGATTACCTAACGCCAGAGAAATGCTGTGAGCAACACATGTGGACAACTCCCAACAGGGAGACATTTCAGACTCTCTTAACCAAAAGCTGCTGTTAATGAAGTGTAACAGAGTCTGGACCACTGTCACCACCAGTTCTCTTTAGACAAGCCATTGGGCCAGTGCCAGACTCTCACCTTCTCCTCCACGTCAGGGGTGATGCATACTGGAGAAGTTTCCACTGACACAGACTTGGAATTGTGCAAACATAAACCCTGGCTATCATGGCTTTAGAAATGGACTATCACCACTGTGGTTTCCATCATTATGCTATGAGAAGCCAGGTAAATGGTCACCCACAGTCCTTTACAATATTCACTGTAGACAAAGGCCTCTTTCTTCATCCTTTACTGGCCATTGAGGAGCCAAAGAAAACTAATATTCTAGCTTATAAGTGCCTAAGTCAATTAGGTCCTGACCTGATTTCATATAGTACCAAGATTTTTTTTTTTTTTTTTTTTGGAGGAAAAGACTGAGTATGTACCAAAATACAGTAATTTTTTGTTTGTTTGTTTGACACACCACAAGGGCAATGCCCTTACTAAACACTGGAGTGAAAAACATTCTAACAACAGAACCGAATTAAGTCATTTGGTGTTACAGCCACGTGCTATGGAGAGGGGAACCTTCATTCTGACCTCCAGCTCAGCCTGAGCCTCCCACAGAAGTCTGAGCTCCGTGAGCCTTTGAGAACGGAGKAGTCTGTCTCCAGTCTGTCGTTTTAAGAGATGAAATGACGAATATTTCGGTTTCTAAAACTTACATAGAAGTGAAAGACCAAAAGCAATCAAAAAAATCCCACTAAAAGCTCTTTGTACCGACTGGCCTGATTTAATCCCAAAGGCTATTTTAAAGCATTTAATCCAAAAGAAGGGCCTTGAAAAGATTCATTGTAATACTGTAAAACAATGTAATATAACAGCCAGTACCATCTTACGTTATTGTGAAGTTATTTAGAAAGCTCTCTGCTAGCCAAGCTGAAATGAAGTCAGTAATGTACAAAACCCCATTAAAACAGCACAGAAAACAGGACTTTTCTCCACTGAGAATACAGAGTTTGCAATGTTCATACGTAGAGCTGGATCTAGTTCAAAAGCTGCTGCASTCATACTGGCTTTATGACACCGAACTTGCTTCCAAGCTGTAATACTGCAAGCTTCTCTCCAAGAGCCTAGCAGATGTGTCCAGCACATTCAGGCACCTTCACACAAACAGGTCCCTCATAAGACAGGCAGGCTCCATCAGGGCATGGATGACTCTTGGACGGGGAACTGYGTCCATCTGAGGTAACAACGTTGTGGCTCATCCATGGAAATCTGCAGTAGGTGGAACATTTCCCATCTGAATTCCCACGGGAATTCACAGAGGCTGAGGCAGCTGAGCACTGGTCTAAAAGCAACAATTGAGAACTTAAATGAGAGATTAAATTGAGAACTTAAAACAAATGAGAACTTAAAAAAAAAACCTCTATTTGCAGGCACGGTTCTTTCCCATTCTCTGTGGGCTTTCTCTTTGCATATATCTGCTTCCTAAAACAAGGCTTACATAAAGCTGCCGAGCTATGAAGGTGATTTCTCTTCCCCTCTCTGACCCTTCATATCAGCAACCCTGATGGAAATTAATTCTGCATCTAATGTGTAAACCCACCTGGATGCCGCCCTGTGCCCCGTGCTCTGGTGTCCCTGCTGGAGCAGGAAGGTTGGACTAGATGATCTCTAGAGGTCCCTTCCAACCTCAACCSTTCTGTGACTCTGTACTTCTACTCAAGTATCAGCAATGGGGGTGGAGGGGAAAGGACTCTCGAGACAACGGGCTCTAGAAGCCAGCAAGGAGTGGGCCATTCCCCACAAGCAACCCTCACAAAGCAGAGCCTGCTTTTCCCTGTACACAGTCACTGCCAACATCACCGTTTTCCTTTTTCCCCAAGAAGTCACCTGGCTGGAAGTGCACCGACAGCTGCTCAAGACACACAGACAGCTAGGAAAACGAGCCCTCTTTTTCTCCTCTTCCCCTTATAAAGGGCTCAGGAAAAAAAATGAGCACATTACCAGGCTTAATRAGTTACCACATATCAGCTAAGCCTTGGTGACTATGCTGAGGACCCACACAATCAATAGCAAAACTGAGATAAGACATTAGCTCAAGCCTGAGCAACAGAGGTTTAAACTAATCCTTTTAACCTTGAGTTTGCAGTATGTAAATAGCAGACGTGCAGAGAATTGTTGCATCTCACCTTGCATGTTAAGCTGTGGCAATATATCTACTTAGTGTAAGCTCCTGATTTCCATTCCTAGATGAGCAGCACAACAATACTGAGAGAATATCTTCAAGCATGAATTTGGCATCACAGCATAAGAGAGAGTTGAAGCAAGGGTTGGAAAGTTAGGCTGGTGCACAAGGACAGCACAGCTTCCATGGGGATAGAGCATCCCATGAGTGTTTTCTCAACGATGCATTTCCCAGTGCCATACGTAGAGTAATAAGGTCATGAACTTGAGTGAGAGATATACCCTGGTGAAATGAGATCCTCATTAACGCCTTCATTCTGACAGCACAGGACATTCCAGAGCGAGTGCAACAAACAAAAGGGAATTCAGATCAACAACAACCCAGCACACACTCCCAGATTTTGTGGCTGCTCATCTCCAAACTGTTGCATAAGCAAGCAGAAGTCTCCACCCATTTATATTAAAATCAAAAGGACAGGTTGTGACTTCACCCTTAACTTCAAAACTGATTTTACATCACACGAAATGAAGAACACGCCTYGTTTTAAATCTTTACTTATGAAGGAAAAGAATCTTCAAGATGGGTGTCTAAAAAGCACAGTATTGCCATTCTGAAATTACTACAACAGTTCAGTAATATCACCCTGAAGGGAGATACCCAACTCTGAATATTTATTATATAATAATATATAATATAATAATATGAAGGTCAAGATCCTTCAACTGTATCAAGAACAACTGAAAATACAGAAGGGAAGCAGAAAACATATGCCCTGCACATCTGCACTAACGGAAAAAGCAGCTGTGCCCCTTCCCCTGCCACCCCAGGAACATGAAGTAGCCTCCTCCAAAACCATTAACTTACTTAAAACTCACTTAGTTTGATTATTCTACCTTTGCAACATCAACATTCATCACTACTCATCCTTAATTTTGATACTGTTTGCTAGTAATGAAGGCAAACACAACTTTGACTGTTATTCCTCAGTTAGCCTAAATGTATGCCTTATGCAAACACCTARTATTTCTTACAAAAGAAAACCAACACTCATGAGCATTCCCTTGTTTGCCTCCTCTCAGTACCCACTAAAATCTCTCATTGGATTCAAATAAAAAAATCATTCCCTTACACGCGAGACCAGATTATTCTCCCAATCATACCAAGGCAGCCATGTGTTTACAGCACAGCACACTGAAGTGCCCTGATATTGCCAAAGAAGGATACCTTGCTGCTTGAAGAGWTTTTTCTACTGTGCAGAAGCCTCCACATTTTATGCATGTCATTTCAGGTTTCTGGTCTGCTACATAAATTTAACAAACATAAATTTAACATTAATTTAGTTGATTTCTATTTCAAGGGGCAATTTATTACCTGAAGCTGCTGTATGTAGAAAACCTAATGGAATTGCTTCCTGAAAAAGCGGTCATCACTTTACATTGCACCCCAACCAGAAGGTTAAAAAAACAAAACTCCAAGAAGTGGTGGCAGAGGCATTCACATCTACCCAGTTTACCAAGGTTTAGCTTTCTTATCCATGCAGATAACTTAGTTTGCATTTAACAAGACCCAAATCTATTTTGGATCTTGTTAAGAAGAAACAGAAGTAGGTTTGTATAAACCTCATGGAGTTCCTGTTAGCAAAAATGCAGGGGACTCCTKTCACCCAAGCTGCAGGAGACAAACCTGGAGACCTCCTCTCAAGCAGCTGTTAAGGAGCTGTGCTAAGGGTCCATCTGGACATCCCTCTCCAGGCAGCACCACAGTCAAAGCTAACAGACCAAGAGGGACACAGGCTCTGAACTCTTCACTCATGTAACTTCTCACAAGGCTGCTTTGGTTTCTCAAAAGACAAACCTGCAGTTCAAATAACACCAAAAAGACTAGGGATGACACAGGCAGCTCAGATTGCAGCACTGAGGATGCCTGCAGCAGCTGGAGGAACCTACAGGATGTCTCCAAGGCTTAATGGGAAGAATCATCCTCCCTGTACACATAGGTTCTGCCACTCTGAACAAGACACTGATGGCCAGACACTCATTCTCAAAGCCTGGGCAGTTTTAGACTCCAGATTCTGGTAAAGATCCAGACAAATAGCTTTCTTGCTACTTCCTACCTTCAGCCTGTGGGCTTAGATGCCTAAATATTAACTGGCAGATCAGCACAGACTTATGTGAATACTCAGATACTAATACTGATGTTTACAAAGATGCCTTTTAGAGCAATTTGTTAATAGGGTTTGTTCAAAACTGCACTAAGTCAGTGTTACTCTAATGCAAGTGAAATTACCACTTTATTCCATAATATTCATGATGGCATTCATTTTACATAATAAAAAAAGAGATTCTTATTTAAGCAATTTGAGAGGAAAAAGTGCAAGTCAAGATAGTGTTTTGTCTATCAGGAAATAATTGTATTAAATACTTTAAAACCTGATGTTTTTATTGTAAACTTAATTCATAATCCCTTTTCACAGTTCTGTTCATATGAAGTTCAGACATCTGGATTCCAGTTCAGGCTTTATTTGTATACAAAAATATATATTATAATGGAAAAGGCATTAAAAGTTCTCAACTATATAAATTTACATTTTTTTTCATAAAAGCAACTTTAAATTAAAATTTAAGCTATATTTTAAAGCAAAATATAGCAATAACATTTAAGTTATCTGATTTCACCTGCTGCAGAATAGCAAAACCCATGCTGCTAAATACTTATAGGAAGATGACAAATGTTACGTTCAGAAAGTAAATAGCTTGAGTGGTGAAGTTATCCATCAATGTCAGCAGTTCTCAGTGATTGATGCCACTTATCTTTCAGGGGACATATTCATAGGCACAAGGCCAAAGCATCCCGTTTCACATGCCTGTAAAYACAAAACAACAATCAGTTCTGCAATAGGATTGCACGTTAACACATCACACATAGGGCAGGACTATACATTTTTAAGCATGAGAGCTAAGAGATTCTATTGTGTAAAAATTTAAGGTAATTTCTATTTTTAAAAGTACATTAGGCAAAAAGCATCTGTACAAAACTTTTGCATAGCCTCAAATATATGAGCAGAATAATGCATAAACCGACAAGATAATACATAACAAAGTCAAATAAGTTGGACYTTTTTCCCCAGGACTTCAAAGCGTGACAGAGTTAGCACGGCACCACAGAGCAAGTGAACTGTTGAAATAACCAGCACATTCTCTTAGGTGGAAAAAAAACCCATCATACCAGGTAGCAATCCCTGGCCTCACCTTTAATGTGCTTTGCAGGGGGGCAATGCAACCAGTAAAGTCACCTGCAACATAGCTTTAAAAGACATAGCAAGATATTTGAGACCTTGGGGGGGGTTTGTCCTTCTGCACGGCCATCCTTCAAATTTAGAGCTTTTCGGATGAGCAAATCAGTCGAATTAAGTTTCAGTGGCAAAAAATTGCTCAMACATGCATCCATAACAGAAGCAGAAATTACTTAAAATAATGGAACTGAAATTAGGATATGGGTATGAAGACAGGGAAGTAGGACKATCACAAGCACAGCTGTCTTGAATWAAATTCAAGACAGATGGCCATGACTTCAAGAATTACAGGAAAGGGAGAATGMCTAATAGTTCAGACACTCTGGGCTCATGTTTTAGTCCATGCAGCCATTTAGGTCTAATCCTATAATTTATTTTGAATGGAATCAGACTGCAGAACCACACAAAAAGAACAGTACCATGCTTCAAATGCAACATAGAAAGAAGGAGAGAAAAATCAAGYACACAGCAGGGAGAAGCATTTAAATTCATAGTAAAAAGAGAAAAGGGTAGTTGAAAATCCTAACTCCAAGMTAGTGACAGAAAATAAAATCTACATTAATTTCTGGTAGAAATAAAAAATCCTGCTTAATCTAGTCTAAGATACAGATATCTTCTCCTTAATTTCACACAGCAAAATAAACAGCAAATTATAGTATCAATAAAACTCCAGAATGGTATCCTTCACTGTGGTTACTGCTCCAGCTTTTTAGCTTTGTAAGAAGCATGAGCCCACTTTGAACAGTCAGGAAACGATGCGTTTACTCCATCTATGCACTGACAGGAGGAGAACTGCAGCTGCCCCAGGGATGGCAGAGGTTCATGCACACCTGCCAGCCTGCACGTATGCAGAGACACAGGAGCAGCAGAAGCTGCTACCACTCACCCTGTGACTGCTTAAAAGCACCCAGTAGAGACAGAGCTCAAAATGCTTTCTGATACATGAGTTGCATGGACTCATCTTCCTAAGAAATGTAAAAGACTGTCCTGGGAAAAGAGAATTTGGTGAGAATAACTATATAGATTAACTATATAACTATATAGATAACTATATAGATAACTATTTGGTGAGAATAACTATACAGAGCAGAATAACACTTAGTGGGAAAAGGCTGTCTGGAGAAAAGCCTTCAACATTCAGGCAGAGACCCGAATTTAGTCCATTTTACCTTCTTGCCTACATAGTAATCCATAGCCTAAGTAAGTCAGATGTAGCCACATTATATTAAAAAAGGTCACTCCATTTCTGATGGATTCACTTTTACTCTTTAAAGGCACTAAACAAGATGCAGTCTACTAAGAAAAACTACTTACTTGCTAATGTCCTGTCAAGATCAGCAATAAAATCTTCCAGTTCTTTTGTATCTCCAAGCTTTGCTGCAAATGAAAAAGGTCATCACAGTTTAAATAKGACATTTCTAACCAAGAGAACTCTCTGGATCTGCACAGTGCCCTATATTTCAGTGGTACCAAATATGCTCTGGATTTTCATAAGTTTTCTTGACTTCCTCTTAACAGAGCTGCCTACAAGTACAAATACATTCTCAGAAGACGGGAAAAAACTGTTTAAAACTTCACTTTTTATCTTATGCAAATGATTAAGGAAAAAAGACACTTAGTTTCCCTAAAGCAGAGATTGAGGTGGCAAGAGGGGGGAATATGTCAACTGAACTAMGTCCTTGCTACCAGGGGGATTCTTCCATATTGTCTTAATACACCTATATAAATGTATTTAGATCTATAGATATCAAACATATATGAGATACTGCATTCGCAGCCCTAAACATACTTCACYGGACAAATCCAATCCTCTTCTATCTTGTGAAGTTATTTACTTTGATATTACGCTCTTGATTATGGCTTATACACTAAGTCTGCATCCCAACATCCACTCACATTTTCACTCCTAACAAAGCAACCCACCCTATTTAATCTGCAAAAAACTCGTCTAGTTTTTGAACAGTAACAGTACTTGCATCTGCAGCCTGCCTAAAAGTAATTTTTGGTTTTGTTGCCATCCTAAAAAATGAGTCATGTGTAGATCCTTGCTCAACAATATTAGTTAGAGCAACTGAGATGATTAAGGGACTGGAACATCTCTCGTATGAGGAGAGACTGAGTGAACTGGGCCTGTTTTCTCTGGAGAAGAGAAGGCTGAGAGGRGATCTGATTAATATGTCTAAGTTCATGAAGGGAGAATGGAAGGAAGAAGGGGACAAGCTCTTCTCAGTGGTGGCCAGCAATAGGACAAGGGGAAATGGGCATAAGCTGAAACMCAGGCAGTTCCATCTCCAGGTGAGGAGGAACTTCTTTGTTGTGAGGGTGACAGATCAGCAGAACAGGCTGCCCAGGGAGGCTGTGGAGTCTCCTTCTCTGGAGCTCTCCCAAACCCGCCTGGATGCCGCCCTGTGCCACATGCTCTAGGTGTGCCTGCTTGAGCAGGAAGGYTGGACTAGATGATCTSTAGAGGTCCCTTCCTTGAATATTCTGTGATTCTGTAATATACTATACAGCTAAGAAGGAGGAAGACGTGCAAGCAAGTAAAATTAAGTTTACCTTTACATGGAGTTACTGAAGGCGACGGCAAAGTTGGAGTAGATGCGGTTGGAGAATTCAGTTTCTCGTCACTTAAGCTGAAACTATTTCTGTACAGTGAATCTGCACCTACAGTGAAAAAATACATTACAAATTAGAACATCTATCAGCAACACATACTGCAAATCTTAAGGGTCTTMAGAAAAAAATGGGAGGTTTCTTAGGCCAAGTCTCTACAAGTCAGATTCAGACTTCAAAGGAACAAATCAGATCATCTGTTATTTGAAGGAAAAGCACCTATGTTTAAGGGCAACCTATATCCTGTTATATCTAGTCCTATATATCCTGTTAAGAAAAACAACAGCTTTTCCCATAGTCAGTTTTTCCATCAATGGGAAAAAAAAAATATAAGAACAAAAGTTATCCCACATCCCCCCAGTTAGGCCTGGCTTGGGCAGCCTGACATACAATCGTCTGGGAAGTTGTGGCAAGCTAAACTTTATTTAGCTTTAGTAATAGCTTTTGAAGAACAGCTCTGCAATAGGGACAGTTCCCAAAAACATCAGTATCACAGACTGCTATTGCAGAGTTTGCCACTGAGATGGTGGTAAAGGGGCAAAAAGCAGCACCTAGTTAAAATCAGAAATGCCTACATGCCCAATACTATTAATTAATAGCCTGTTTCTCTAAGGCTCCACATMATCTGCCCAGGTTGGTGTGAATATAGGTATGATACTGTGTTCTGCTAAATTCAGGGCTGAAAGGCCTGACCTATATAATGATATAATCAATACAACATAGTATAATGTCAGTATAATCAATGTAACAGCTGTGACACCCAACTTGTATCACCTTTCACTGATGAATAGAGAATACATCCAGCATTGTCCTCAACCCTGAGAAGTAGCTCCTGAAATTAAGGGAGGAGAAAAAACCACAACTGTTCTGTATTGACATTTCTTACCAGCACTGCACAACGAAATATGAACTCCAGTACATGAATGGACTGAAAGTAACAGATAACATTTCTTCCTGAAAACAGCTTGAGCCAACTTTAAACCAAAGCCACATTTTTTTAAAGCCAAGATGCATACCACAGCGAACAAGAAACTACCGAAAACATGCTGTTTTAAAACAATACTTCTGATTTCCACTGCATAAAGATGAGCTTCTGCAAAACATGGCTCAAGGGYAGAAAGCTCAGAAGGACATTTCAATCCTTGCTCCCTGCCAGCTGCAACAGCCAATATTTGCTCATTCACCTTCAAAAGAGGATCTTGGAGGATTTCCACACATTGCCACACAAATCCAACATCCCTTGCAATGAAAGAACTAGAGGCTGGTGCCTAGGATCTCTCACCACTGCTGCCTACCCTCACCCAACCCTTTCTCTTCCACTGCAATGTAAGTTTATCATTTATTACYTACCATGTGGCTCTAAAATTTGTGTACACATGCAGAGAACAGAATCAAACTATGATTTACGGCTGGTTAAAAGAAATATTGTCTCTTTAAAAGAAAACCTTAAAAACRAGTTAGGCTCCTAAGTTGATTTATATGAGTTAGGTTATAGAAACAGCTGCAGAATTAGAGGTTTAGAACAAATATGGATGTATTTTACTTTGGCAGAGTAATCTATAGTTAGTACTGACCTTTGCTGTTCCAATATACAGTTAAACCACAAGAAGAAAAAACACTGCAATACCATGTAAATTTACCAAGTTTCCATGAAATAAACAATTGAAAGGTTCTGGACAGTAATTAACTGAGGGAGGAAAACCTCAGATTTCTTTTTCTTTTAAAACAGGCAGGGGAAACGCTTAGCCATCTGACTTAATATTATGTTCTCTCCAATATCATAGACAATCAGGAGATAGTTTTAAGGCTAGCTACTCCTATTAAAAACAGTGCATTTTTCAGTGCAGAAAGATTTAGAGACTTGTATCCCTCAAGCTTTTCAGAGAAGAGTCTTAAAACGTCATTAAAATGTCTTCACAGATCATGAATTCACCACAAACCATCCAACAAAGCAAGACTGCACAACTCATTACCATTGCTTATTTGATTTAAAAAAAAMCAGGAATTTCTAATGCCACCAGTACACAGGAGAAGACAGTATAAAGAACTCATTCCACAAGGTACGTGCTGCAGTCCTTCAGGCTGGGATCATAATCATGCTCACACTTTGCTGCACTGTTTATATGTTGTCTTCTGCCTAGTTATCAACCATCTGCTCCAACACAGACAGGGAGAAAACCAAACAAAAAACCACTTTCCCTATCTAAATTCCAGGGCTTCATGATTTAAGAGATTTCAAATCGCATCATTACTAATTACAAGGAAGTCATTTAGGAAGCTTGAAATTTAGATATACAAGAATGTTTCTAATTATCTGGGAGACTTAACATACTGCTCCCCCATCACATTTACTACTTAAAAGGCCAAGTTTCTAATTCTAGTCTCCCACTTCACTGCTCCTATTATACAGTAAAGCATAAGGGAGACAAACAGGAATTCTGGGGAYGCAAGAACAGCAAGTCTTACAGGTAAGCATGTCCTTCCCTTTAACTAAAATACCTGGAAAGCAACCTGTGTACTCCAAACTTCTGGGTTTTCATTCCCTTGAATGTATCAGATGATCTCTTAAGTTGTATTATTCCTTAGATTCCATAAGGCTTTCTCCATACAAGTCTTGTTTCATCTTTTCATTAAACTCGGTTGCTCTTGTCAGGTATCAGTCATTCAATATTTGAGGAGGCAGCAATCCACTCAATTCTCTTCATCATATAAAATTAGGATTTACTGTTAAAAAAATCAAAGGTCCTTCCACTCAGAGCCTCTGATAGTGACTCATAGTAGATGCCTACAGAAGAGTTCAAGACTGGTGCAGGGACAGACCAGCAGTTGCCAGATATGTTCTACCAGTTCCTAGCAATGCACAGATCAACATACTTTAAGGCTGCAGTACTATCTTAATATTCAGTGGTCCCTGACAAATTCTTTCCATGGCTATCTAGCTGCTTTGACATGTAAACATAACAGCCACAGTACCTTTAGGCAATGATTTTGCAGTTGAACTCTACAGTGTGTGAAGAAATATCTCACAAATATTTTGTTTGAAATGTGGTAGTTGCATTTGATGTTCTCATGCGGGGCGAGAGCCAACAGCACTTCCTACTTCATTTTCCCAATGCCACTTTGGATGTTTTGAAAGAAGAGATTGTGCCCACTGAAGTAATCTCTTTTCCAGGCAGCCAGCCTGGACTCGACTTTTTAGCCATTTTGAAATCATTTTGCATTTTCAATCATTTACATTGAATTTTTCTGCATCTTTTCCACACTTAGGTATTTCAAGACTGCAAATGTGTTCTGGCTTTTCAGGATGACTGTRAAGTATTAATAGTGGCTCATGTGTCATCTTTAGCTAGTGGAGGCCTTAGCACAGCCACACGTACTTCTATGGCATGCAACCACAGATGCTTGTGTTACACCAGGCACCGGGTGTTAACAGGAAGCAATTCAGCCCCTTAGTAAATCTGCACCTGCTCAGTTTTGAAATTACAGCATTACAAGTCGTAGAGGCACTGAGGTCCTTTTGATGTGCTTAAAGGCCGGGGGACATATGTCTCAAAGCATTAACATGCTCCTAAAAGTTACTAGGAAGACAGACTGCAGGCTGTATCAGCACAGGATCTAAGGTGACACTCGTTTTCCACTGCTTTTGATAGAACACAAGTTGAACCAGTTTACTAGTAGCTAAAAGTGTAAAACACTGCTGAGAGCACAGCAGATTATGGTTTAGCTTTTAAGTGTTATTATAGCTTTGGCACAAGAAATGCTAAAGCATTTCCATTCCCAACCCTTCATTTAGTCTAACTTTCTATTTGTTATTCCAAGCCTAAACTTGAAAGACTTGTGCCACTGCTATACACGATACTGGCAAAGTGCATTGACTGCACATGCCATTTATACAGGCAAGCCCTGCCTTTTTCTTTGCAAGCTCATTCCAGAAGAAGGAAACACTATCTTTAAAAGTTCAGGTTTTTCAGTACCACTGCATCTGCACTCCTGACAACAGAACCCTACTACAGATCACATCATCACATACAACAGATGCCATGGCTAACGACGTATAAGCATCTCTTGTCTTAGATGTTTCAGTGTAAATAATCTCAACTATAAAGCTGTTCGACATCCATTCTGTTAAATATAGAAAGATGAAACATAATTACTCTTCATTCTGATAGTTCAGCAACTCGGGAGTGTCTATTACTGTAGTAAATTAGTTATCACATTGTGATTTCCAGCACTGACCCAATCAGCTGCATTTAATACAACACTTGCAGGTCAAATACTAACAGGATCTATCTGCACATGCCAGCATTTTTATTACTGCAAGGGCTACAGTCCAGTGTTACATACAATATCTGATCACAGCCAAGGCAGAACTTGGCCAAAGATCAGTTAGTCTAAATAACTGGACAAGGTACAGTAGACCCAAATATTATTGTGCTCCTTTTCCCAAATTGGACCTTTGAATGTTATTTTTCCCCTCAAGAGGCTAAAATGAGTAAGAAGAATGTCTAACAGTACTTTTGCTCTTAGCTCCCTCAAGAGGAGCTTAAGTAAAATATATATATATATTTAAATGATTAACTGTATTGACAGACATCTTCTGTAAATACTTCTGTTTTTAAATTAAATTGCCTCATCTTCACTGTACAAGCCCCAGGAGAGGACTTCCTTTACCAGACAATAAAAGAACATTGTTCAGCTTTACACAACATTTGCAATTTTGGAGAAAGTTTAAGCTTAAATGTGATCCATGTGCCCTAAAACAAATGTTTGCAACACTTCAAGATGTTACTGCCCAATCTTACAATCCCACACGAGACTCCAAGATATCACTGCAGAACAACAGATAGGCCTGACCTCCAGCCACTCCACACCAGTTGGGATCAGATCAGTTCTGTAAATACATAACCAATCAGTAGGAATCACCTATACTGCTACATAGTGGGAATCTGCCAAGATAGAAAGAGTCTTGGTGAATTGGAGTGTAATTCCAACTGCAGATAATATTGTTGGCATTTCTTCTGCTCTTAAGGATTTGTTTAAACAATGAGCTCTCCYAGGTTAAACATCACCACAGGATCAAAGAGAAAGTAGGTTCAGTGTTTCCATGGGGCCATGAAGTGTTCCTTCAAAGGACAGAGACCAGGAAAGGTAGATCCAGGGAAAGGAAAACCTCAGTTTGAGCCTGAAGAGCCCAGGTTAGTAGAAATTTCCATGTCTATTCTTAGACTAGACATACAGAGTGTATCTAGACTACATGAGACATTCATCCTGTTCTATAAAAGGACCTCTTCATAAAAAAGCCTGCAATTCCAATCCTACTACAATTTGGAATTAAGCTGCTTTCCGCACCAATCGATGTTTTTCTGAGTCTCTTCTGAGAAAAGTGTCAAGATTCTARTTAAAATAGAGGCATTTGTTCATTTAAAATAAAAACGACAGTGCTAGAAACTCATTCTGACTTCAGATTTTTCAAATTTAACTAGAGCTTAAGCTAGCCTAAGCAAATTAGCTTCATAAGAAAATCAGGTTAGCTAATTTTCTATTTCCTTTCCCTCAGTCATATCCTCATATGCTGGGCGTAGTGGATTCCTGTATACCACATCTAGTGCATCTCYTGGTCTAGTTTATGTCTGTGTCCACAGAACAGTGGCTGCTTCATCAGAACCACCCTTTACATTAAGCACACCATTAAATGAGGAACCCTAACACAAGCTGAAACCTGAAAGCTTGGCAAGTTTCTCATACATCATCTTTGAASACTGCTCAAAGCCTTTAAATCCTGTCTACCTCTGTTAGTGCATTCAGTCTAACTCAGTCCAGATGTGGCACGATTCTGTTTTCAGGGCTTCTTGAAAACTCTCATCTGCTCTTCTGCATGAGCATGCTGTTCCTTGCTAAGCCTTCTGCTCTCTTCATTTTCCTCTGAAGACCCTTCCTTTCAATTCTAACCTAACAATTTTAAGTACTCTTCAGGATTAATTTTTCTTAAACACAGCACATACGCTCAGTGATATTAGATACGCTTTAACCATGCAAAATGGATAAATTCTTGATGTCAATTTGTTTTCTCATGCTTGCCAACAGTAGAATATTTAACTGGACAGAGAACCTTCACACTTTTGGTGAGAGTACACTAGAAGTTATTGTATTAGTACCCAGAACACTAAGGCTTTGCTATTGTAGTTAATGATAGACTCAGATTTACAGGCTGTTCACATAATTTATCAGCTTGCATCAGTAAAAGCAGACCTCATCCTACCCCCCACCACCCAAAGGCTGGAGTATAATGTAAATCAGGTGTTCATTTCCAGACCTCCCTCCACAGGGAGGGAAGGACTTGCAAAGAGCAATTCATCCACTTTAGGAAACAGATGCATAAGCCTCAGGAAGCACCTAATCCGTCTGCAGACGTCAGGAAGAAATAGAAGTGGTAGTTAGGCTAGATGTCAGAGCAGGTAACATGAACTGAGGTGAATCCCACTCATCACGATGTTGTAAAGTGGTTTGATGCTAGGCAGCAGCAATAGGGATAGCTTAACCACTAGGAACACTATGTTCCTTATGTTTTTAGCAAAAAGTCCACAAAATTGCACAGTGAGTCACCRAAGGAAGCACAACAAAAACTAAAGGCACAATTTTATAATAAGTAACTGAAACTCAGGAAGCTTGAATTTTTAAAGCCATCTATAAGGGAAGTTTTTAAGTTTAAGGAAGCTTTTAAGTTTAGGAACTAAGATATATTTGGGCTTATTTATTTACTAGCACTTCTGAAAAAGCAGCTATTGAATCTATTGCTTCCAAAGACAACAGCAGTCCTCAGTGTGACTCTTTGCAAGAGGAAAGATGGTCTCATGGTGACTGTGAAAATCAGAGGTGTAAAACTTCAGGAAAAGAAGGAAAAAAAAGTACCTGAACAACAATAAATAAATAAACTAGTATTTTGTATTTTCTGCTCAAAACTGCCTATCAGGTGTGACTTTGCTTGCTCTAAGCTCCCTGTGCACTGTTTGCATACACACAGCATATGCCACTCCAAAAATGAGGAGCAGGGAGGGCATCTCCTCTGACTAAAAAGAGCTCATTCAGTTTCAGCCAGCTCACTGAAAGTACTTCACTCTCATTTGGCTGATATTTAACTTGTAAAAACCTWGCAAAGTGCAGCCAGGAAATCTCAGTATTACACCAGCCGGCCACTATTTCTGCCTTCCTTGCAGCATGCAACAGAGCTCTGCTTTTCCCCACTATTTCCCCACTATTTCCTTGAAATCCTGAAGATTTCAGGATAGRAAATCCCTATCCTGAAAATCCAGAAGGGGTTTAAATAGGACACAAACCCCTACGATTTCACAGCGCTCTCTTCCCCAGGGTGCAAGAGGGGTCGGGCACAAGCGATGCCCAAGATCCAAACCCAGCGGGTCAAAGCGCAGCAGCYTAACTCCTCAAAAGCAAATGAAGCGGTTATTTTTCTTTAGGATTTTTCCCCCTCCATGCCCGCGGTGGCCGGGGGTGCCCCACTCACTCTCGGAGTCGCTGAGGCCGCTGCCGTCGCTGCCGCTCGCGCAGCTCCGCCGCTTCATGCGCTCCAGGTGCTCGCCGTAGTGGAAGCGGCGCCGGGCGGGCGGGCACGCGAACTCCTCCAGGACGGCGTCGAACTCGCCGAGCGCCTCGGCCAGCTCCCCGCCGTCCTCCAGCAGCGCTGCAAGCACCGGGCACACGGCTCAGGGCCGCCCCACGGCAGCCTTCCCCCGCCCCGGCCCCGCCGCGCACCCACCTGGCCCCGCC